TCGATCAGATTCAGTCTCTTCTGACAGTCTTGTCTCCATGTTGTGTGTGTGTGTAGGAGGATCAGGAGAACGTCCAGATCCTGCCGGCGGGAGAAGGTCATCAGGCCAATCAGAAGAGAATCACCACACCGTACATGACCAAATACGAGCGCGCGCGAGTGCTGGGGACACGAGCGCTGCAGATCGCGTGAGTGACCTCTGACCCCTGCACACACACACCTCAATATGTATTTGACCTCAAAGTACGCTGGCACGGTCTGTCACTCTAAACTCAAAGTCTAAGCGCTAAAAAATGCGCGCGCTGTTCGACCAATCATAGCGCTGGGTTCATTTCTTAAAGGGGTGGTAAAGTATGATGTCACTTTTCTAACTTTAGTTAGTGTGTAATGTTGCTGTTTGAGCATAAACAACATTATCAAAGTTACAGCAGTTTTTGTTGTTTTTACTGTTTTCTACGGGTAGTTTCTAGATATTTTTTCTTTTTCTAGATTAGTTGACCACCTCAAATTATGCAATGCAATATTAATCAGGAGAAATGATGTGAAACGTGTCTTTTACTGATTTGGGTCAAATTAAAAACTTTATTTTTATTTTATTTTATTTTTTTTTTATTGCAGAAATGTAACATACAAACAATAACAGAACATAAACAACCAAAACAAAAATAAATACATAAAAAAATAATAGAGCATAGTTCACATTCAATTTTAACAAATAAGAGTATTACAAAACACCAGGGGTATTGAAGAGTGCATCATAGCATTGTAAATATTTCACAGATTTTTCATTTTTTAACAATCTTATTGAAGAAATGTAGGAATCAAAGTCATAACAAAATAAATTTAACGAATTTTTGTTTATGTATGTGAAATTTTGCTAATAAGATAAAAAGGTTAACAATAAATTCCAGATCCTTATTGCTTTTATTTTCATAATACAAGGTGACATCCTTTAAAGTAAAGCAATAATTAGTATTCAACAAATTAAAAACTTTAGAAGAAAACTAGAATTGCTCAGTGACGTCACTTCCTGTGTGTGACAGGATGTGTGCGCCGGTGATGGTGGAGCTGGAAGGAGAGACGGATCCGCTGCAGATCGCCATGAAGGAGCTCAAGTACGACACACACACACACACGACTGTTATTGACTCCAGGATCTGTTAGTCTGTTTGTTGGTGTAGAAAAGCGTCTAATAAATGAATACATGTAAATCATATTCAGAGTTCATGGTAGAGAACGGCTGCGTTATATATTACACACACACACACACACACACAAAACTGTCTCAAATATCTGTTGGTGTGTGTTTCTCGTCTGTTGTGTTGGTGTGTGTGTGCTTGTTTAGTCATATTGAGAACATTGGACCCCATTGACTTTCATTGTATGAACACAAAACACTCTTATAAATGTCGTTATTGATGTGTGTGTGTGTGTGTACTGTCCCTCAGGAGCAGGAAGATCCCCATAATCATCCGCCGGTATCTTCCTGACGGCAGTTATGAGGACTGGGGCTGTGACGAGCTCATCATCACCGACTGACACACACACACAGATCGGTGTGTCTCATCAGTGTTTACAGCGCAGGTTTCCTCATGTGTGTGTTCTGCTGTGTTTATAGTGGAGGTTTGGTTTCATCCTGCAGGTCTGGTGATCGTCCACATGAGGGCAGCACACACACACACACACACTCTGAATCTCCTTATTTAATGTCTATTTGTGTTTTATTGATGCCAGATTAAACCTTTTTGTAGTAAACGCCACTTTCTGTTGTTATCTTTGTCGTTGTGACACTACTGTCATCAGGGGATTCACACTGAACACTTTAATTGTTTAGTTGAGTGTTTATTAATTAAGATATTATATATTAAGATATTGCCACTAAATAATTTAGTACTGAAGTTTGTAAACGGGTTTATATGCAGAACGAGTTGTTTCTGAGTAATAGTATAAAGAGGACAAAACTAAAAGTTCAGGAAATGAAGGAAACGTCGATTACAGTAACAGACTGTCTTTAAGATATAATTATCTTAAATTTATCTTATATTTATTATCTTATAATTATATTAATTTTCGTATTGTTGACATTAACCTTGATGCAGAAATATAATAGATAGTTTATAAAGTTTGCGTACTGAAATAGGTTTTGACTAGAGCGATGTGATCTAAATGTAAATATTCATTGTTTTCGCTGTTTGAGGTGAAACTCGTGGAAGCTCGTTTCCAAAATTCAGTTGTGATTTAATATCTCACAATTCTGAGAGAAAACAGTCCCAGTTTGAGGATAACTCAATTGAAAGATAATTAGTGCACAGTATTCAGTGAATAATACTCTAGTACTTCTGAACAGATTCGCAGTGGCTGATGGGAAATGAATCTTGATACCCCTCATGATACGTGGAGTCATGATGATACAGTGACAGAAAACTAGCCTTGTTTCAGATTCTGGGTGAGACTCGTCCATCTCTCTCTCTCTCTCTCTCTCTCTCTCTCTCATTGCACTGTTTAGGAATGTGCAAATCCTGCTGCAGTGTGTGTGTGTGTGTGTGTGTGTGTCTTTGTATCCAGTGAAACTGCAGGCCAGTCCCCCCTCCTCTTCTCTCGCTCAGCCAGAGCTGAATGAGTCTCTTTGTTTAACCAAAGTATCACACAGATGATTAAATCAGGGGAATTAGAAATCAGCTTCAGTTCTCAGCACACACACATACTGGACTGCGCACACACACATATTAATGCAGAAATGCAGAGGATGTTGAGATATGCACTGTCATTAGTTTCAGCCAATCAGAGTGAACCTGCAAGCTCAGATGCATGTCATAAAAACACACTGGTTTCATTAATAATCATAAACATATACAGCACATTTTTCAAACATCAGTACTATATTGTTGTCAAATTAATTCATTATTTTGCATGTTTAATTCAGTTATGGTAATGGTCAAATCAAGCATGTTGCATTATTATACAATAGGCTATTTTATGCAGTGTGTGTGTACTGGAGTTTGGCAAATGTCCCGGCTAATAATTTTTGTTTTCCCAAAACATGCATTTTTAAAGTTTGTTTTTGGTTAATTAGGTTTATTTATGAAAAAAATAATGTTCTTTTTAGGGTTATAAGCTCATGACTCTGATATCATTTAACCAGTTATAGATTCAGTGCAAAATAATTATATATTGTGGATGTATACAAACTGAATAATGTTGAAATATATTGACAATTATATTAGTAAAGTTGAAAAATATATGCTTTTGTAATGTGCTATTCTGAAAACTGACGTGACTTCTGTCACGATCTTACAGGTAAATAAGAAAATTAATATTCACGCGTGTGTGTGTGTAAATGAGGACTCGTTTGTACAGAATGCAGCTTTATTTAAAGTGAGGGAAGTTAGTCACTGCTCTCTTCTATTTACACTGATAAAGAAAAACAACACTTTTACCCACCACAGAATTACACGACAAAAGTTTCCAACATCAGAGTAAAACGCTACTGATAAAAAAAAACGAACAAAAACAACAAATATAAATAATATTTTGTAATATATAACAGAAATTTTGTTTGTTTGCTTCGGTTGTTTTTGAATAGTACTAATAAAGAGGGCGAAAATTATATTTAAAAAAAAAAAGTATAGTCTACCAAAGGGAAAAAAAAACATCGAATAAACATCGTTTGACTTTATGAAATAATACCGCCGTGTTTTATTGATAGGCAACAAGGTAATGTTCTGAAACGGACATTATGTGTATTCTACAAAATACAAATCTATTTCAAACTCGTATTTCAATGTGGGCATAAAATATGCGAATGGGCTCTATGCACGGCGTTATTTCCGGTGAAGCATTAGGGATGCTCGATAACTTCCGCCGATCATAGAGTCCAATGCAATACCGAGAATTTATATTGAATTTTATACTCCATAGTTATACTAATGAAACGTTAGTCACAAAAACCGATAAAACAGACACCCCTCGTTGTGTTTATGCTTCTTTTTAAAATTATATTAAATAAACATAACTATATATAAAATTACATCTAAACGTATGTACGTTTCGTTTCAAAGACGGGAGGACAGCAAATATTGAAGATTCTGCCATAATCCCGTTTTCTCCGGTTTTCCTCCGCTTTAATCTACACAACCGGAAATGGACGAGCATCCTTACGTCAAATGCGGAACTTATGCGTGCATATAGCCCATTGGCGAATAGATGAAAGTTCGCGCCCTGAAAAAAGTATCACGTGATTTAATTCGAATTTATCAGCGATTATTAACCGTTTCCGATGGACTGAGGCACTAGCGGTGTTAGCTAAACAAAATAACAGCTAATTGTACAGCGGAAACTCATAATCACGTTAATTCCGATGTGAAAAGACATATTACAATACAGTACTCCGTTTGTGTGTTTGGAGTAACATCGTTTCGACACGTTTATCGCGTCCAGGCACTGATATTTACACACGCTGAAAGTCATAAAACACAAATGTCATTAACAAACACTAGACAGTGGTGAAGACTTTTCAGTGTAGTTATGGCAACACAAGAGTAACAACAATAGAAAAGATTACAACAATAAAAACACGTCATTATTTGTCCAAGATAAAAACAATATGGCCTTATTTTGGTTAATAAAAAGAGATTATTCATACATACAAATAAAAAAAACATCAACAACAACATATCCATATGTAGGATGTACAGGTAACATCAGGGTGTAAGTTTATGTGAATGAATGTATTGGAAGAAGTTTGTGATCTGGTACACTGATGGCAAACCACACAGAGTTCAATAACTACGCCCGTTTAAGTTGCTCATTCATTTGAATGTTTTGGTCTCAGTACTTTGGTAATGTGTCCTCATGAAATACCACTGGTGTCAAATCGGCGGACGAGCAAGATCTCTGTGAAACGGGTCATGATGCTTTATCTAATCAGCCTGAGGCAAAGTGAGAATGTTTTCCCTGCAGATCTCCACACGCGTTGTTTTCTGTGTGTGGATTGTGGTGCAGGCGAGTGTTTTGATGATTTTCGGTCACATACACACTTTAGTTTGGACCTTCGGTGACTGGAAATGAAACGAGAGCGTCGCGTCACCTCCGTAACGCGCGTCATGGTCGGGATAGTGTGGTGTAGACGGGCTGCTCCCAGTGAGTCGGGCTGTGCGACTGCGGCACGGATCCGGGGTCGGGGATGGCGGTGTACAGGGGCCTCTGCGAGGGGCCCATGTAGGAGAAGGCGGAGTACAGGCCCGAGGTCTGGCTGGAGTGGGCGTAGTACGAGCCGGACGCCTGGTGCTCCGCGTACTCCGCGAACTGCGCACGCGAAGCCAGCGAGGGAAAGGCAGAGCTGTAGTGCGGCAGGCTAAGAGGAGTGTACGTTACGTGCGAACCGCTAGCCGTGGCGGCATCGCTAGCGAAGTGCGTCTCGCTCTTAATCTGCGTTTTCCCTCCATCCGAGCCCAAGTGCTGCTGGGACGGCAGCTGTTGTTTGGAGAGCCATGCGGTGGAGTGACCGCTAGCGGCCGCTAGAGCGCTAGAGATGCCGTACGCGTACGGTGATGCCGAAGACCCCGCGCTCGCCGCCTGCGGGTGCCCGTTCGGCGGCAGGTACTGGTCGAACTCGTTCACATCGAACGGCTCCATGTTGGCCATCACGTCGTGGCTGATCTCACCGATGTCCACGTTGCCGAAGTCGATGTGCGGTTTGCCGCCGCCGGCAGCGGACGAGGAGGCGGAGCTTCCATCTGGTCCCGCCCCCAAACCGCCCCGGGAGCCTCCGCCCTCGCGCTTCCCCTCGCCAGGTTTCCCGCCCTGCAGCTCCGTCTTCGGGGTCGTAGGGGGTGTCGGGGGGCTGTGACTCTGACCTGGAGAGAACAAACGAAGAGGTTTAGGGTACGTTGTCGTTTACACTTATTACGTAGAAGTTTTTCCTTTGAGTTTACAAAGACGTACAGATGACACCATTGTCAAAACAATCCCTGAATTGTTAGAAATCATTCTAATATGCTTATTTGCTTCTTAAAGGGATACTCCACCCAAAAATAAAGTTGTGTATTTTAACATGGGGGTCTATGGGATTGACTCTCTTTTGGAGCCTCTAGTGGCCAATCAATGAATTGCATCTGTGTTGAGAGAAGACCACTTGTTTTTAAAAAAGGTTTCTTAAAGGGATACTCCACCCAAAGATTCTGTCATTTACTCACCCTCAAGTTGTTGCAAACCTGTATGAGTTTATTTTTTTCTGCTGAACACAAAGGAAGATAATTTGAAGAACGATTGGAACCAACCAGTTGTTTGGCACCATTGAATTCCATAGTAGGAAAAAAAAATACTATGGAAGTCAATGGTGCCAAACTTCCAATCGTTCTTCACAATATCTTCCTTTGTGTTCAGCAGAAGAAAGAAACTCATACAGGTTCGCAACAACTTGAGGGTGAGTAAATGACAGAATCTTTGGGTGGAGTATCCCTTTAAGAAACCTTTTTTAAAAACAAGTGGTCTTCTCTCAACTAGATGCAATTCATTGACTGGCCACTAGAGGCTCCAAAAGAGAGTCAATCCCATAGACCCCCATGTTAAAATACACAACTTTACAGCAGAAAAAACATGTTTACAGCCTGTCGCAAAAAGTGGGTTTGGTCTATAAAGCTAATTTTGCCATTCATGACGACTGTGAGGGGGTGAATATTTGTACCAATCATCCATTTAAATTATATTGGTGGTTGAAGAGATTTCACAGTTCTATTTTAAGCGCTTTGAGTACCCAGAAAAGTGTTATGTAAATGTCACAAATTATTAATTATTATTAATATTTTTAGCCTTAGTTCTGCATGATTAAGGGCGTGGCCACTTGAGTGACAGGTGGATTGCCACTGATGTCACTACTAGCCGTTTGTCTGCTGTCTGTTAGCGTCACCTCACCTGAGCTAATGTCTGTTAGCGTCACGACACCTCACCTGAGCTAATGTACCTCACCTGAGCTAATGTCTGTTAGCGTCACGACACCTCACCTGAGCTAATGTTCCTCACCTGAGCTAATGTCTGTTAGCGTCACGACACCTCACCTGAGCTAATGTTCCTCACCTGAGCTAATGTCTGTTAGCATGACCTCACATCGGCTAATGTCGGTTAGCGTCACCTCAGCTAATGTCTGTTAGCGTCATGTCACCTCACCTCAGCTAATGTACCTCTCCTGAGCTAATGCCTGTTAGCATCACGTCACCTCACCTGAGCTAATGTAACTCACCTGAGCTAATGTCTGTTAGTGTCACCTCACCTCAGCTAATGTCTGTTAGCGTCACGTCAACTCACCTCAGCTAATGTTTGATAGCGTCACGTCACCTTACCTCAGCTAATGTCTGTTAGCATCATGTCACCTCACCTCAGCTAATGGATCTCACCTGAGCTAATGTCTGTTAGCATCACGTCACCTCACCTGAGCTAATGTACCTCACCTGAGCTAATGTCTGTTAGCGTCACGTCACCTCACCTCAGCTAATGTCTGTTAGCATCATGTCACCTCACCTCAGCTAATGGATCTCACCTGAGCTAATGTCTGTTAGCATCACGTCACCTCACCTGAGCTAATGTACCTCACCTGAGCTAATGTCTGTTAGCGTCACCTCACCTCAGCTAATGTCTGTTAGCGTCACGTCACCTCACCTCAGCTAATGTCTGTTAGCGTCACGTCACCTCACCTCAGCTAATGTCTGTTAGCGTCACCTCACCTCAGCTAATGTCTGTTAGCGTCACCTCAGCTAATGTCTGTTAGCGTCATGTCACCTCAGATAATCCGCTTCTTTGCCCATTTTCTTTTATCCAGGAGTGACGCGTGGCCAAGATGGCGACGACCGACTCCGCCCACTTTAGGCTTCAGAAATTCTCTTTAGAAACGCACAGGTGATGTCACAAATAAAAATAGAGCGAAAATAGCTCATATGTTTGTGAAAAACGGTAATTGGTTCTTTCAGGATTCTTTGATGAATTTCTGAGTATCTCTCACGGTGTTATTATAAGTTCTTCTCTCACTAGTGTTGGCGGTGAGCTCACCTGTGGCGTGCGGGTGGTGTCCGTCGGCCAGTGGGGAGCCCGTGACCCCGGCGTGGGCCACCTCCAGGTGCAAGCTCTTGTAATGTGATTGGCTGTGGCTGACCTCGCCCTCGGAGTGACCGTCGCCCTCAGAGCTCGACCCCGGCTTGCCGTTCTTGCGTCGACGAGGCTGGTATTTGTACTCGGGATAGTCCTTCTTATGCTGCTTCCTCAAGCGCTCGGCCTCCTCGATGAACGGCCGCTTATCCGTCTCGTTCAGCAGCCTGAAACACGCAAAAAAAACACATCGTAACGCTATATTTCAAGGTGTCATCGTTACAGTGTAATTCTATATTAAGTACTGAGTAATATTAATCAACTAATCAACTACATGTACTTACTATAGGGTTAAGTTTGTTTGAGGGTTGAGATCAGTATAATACGAACAAAAAAAGTTTATAAAAAAATGGTACTTTGACTAAAAAACATGACAGATGAGAGATGTCCTGTAACCTGATCACTGGACAAATAACAAACACACCATCACAATAAACTCTCTCATATGAAATGAATCTTTATCAGAGCTTTTTAAAACACAAGTTAAGCAAGGAATGAACAGTAATGCCACCTGACTCTGAGATTATTGAACAGTTGAATGCTGATTCTGGGTCAGATTTCTCCTCTGAGAGTTTAACACGGTCAGATACTCCAGCTGGTGTATGAACCAACTCTGAGCGCTTTGACCTGTTTTATATATATATATAAGATATATGCTGTCATCTGTAAAGCGAGACTCTTTCACTAGTTTAGTTGCGAAATCCTCCTGAAAATAACCCGTTTGAGATAAATGCCCTCTTGGCGTTCCCGCTCGGGTTAATGGCGTGTGTTTTCCACAGCAGCTCCAGAAGGGATTTGTCCCTCTAATCTGGCATGTTGAAGGAATGATTATTCTGAGCTAAAGCCCCTGAGAAACTCAGAGCCAGAGGCCGGACAGCAGTGAATATGAGGATCTAGAGGAGAACACGTTACACTGACAGCATTACAGCGATTAACTTTCTTGAGATGCACAATTGTTTTGAATACATTTGCATAATTTTTACGGTTAAATATGATTATTTTTAAATCATTTTTATGTAAAGCACTTTGAATTAATTGCTGTAGCCTCTAAATAAAGCTTTGCCAATGAATGCATGGTAAAATTAATTAGTGACACACAGTGATGTTTTTCCCTCACCTCCAGAGTTTGCCGAGTGTTTTGCTGAGCTCGGCGTTGTGCAGGTGCGGGTACTGATCCGCCAGCTTCCTGCGCGCGGCCTGCGCCCACACCATGAACGCGTTCATCGGCCGCTTCACGTGCGGCTTGCTCTTGCTACCCGAGTTCACGCGCACGGGCATGGGCACGAGCGTCCAGTCGTAGCCGTTGAGCACCTGACTGACCGCCTCGCGGATGCCGATGGGGAACCGGTCGTCTTCTTCATCGGACTTCACCGAGACACCGGAGACTCCGGCTCCATCATCCCCGACGCCCGGGATCTGAGGCGGCTGCCCGGGGAGAGGGGAGTCCGGGCCCCCTGGGGCTCCTGAAGAGTGACCGGGAGACATGGAGTGGCCGTCGTCCGAGACCCCGGGGCTCATCTCCACCTCCGACATACTGTGCTCCTCCGCCGACATCGTGCTCTCGCTCTGCGGACGCAGGGGTCTTCGGTGGGTCTAGTTTTTTCCCAAACACGACCTCTGTTTTATTCTCTAAAAACTATTGTATTTTCTGGAAAACAATTGCCTATAGGTCAAGTGTTATTATAAGTCATCCAGTGAAACTTTAACACATTTCTTGTCATACACGCTCGGTTCTGTCAGAATGAATCCATCCGCTGTCTTCCTCAGGAAGTAGATCTGCTGATAAACCTGCAAAAGTCAAACACAAAGGTCGTTTTATTTAAAATTATAGGTGGCCTGGAGTTTGTTACATTGTCATGTTTCTGTAAAGCATTTCTTCACAGTACACAATAATATTATTTTCGTGCTTTTATACATTTATGTTCTGTCAACATTGCGGGAAAATCAATGTTTCTAAAACTTCAATTGTTCTTGTCGTGATTAGAACGATATAAAGGTTAATTTTATGTAAGGTACATCATCATATAACTAATTGTTACTCACAAACATTTTATTAAGATTTATTTGTAAATCCCAAGAATGTTAAAGTAAAAATAACATCATATGAATGTTCCAAAAACGTTTTCGCAACATCACGATCATATAATGTGATGTGAACGTTCTAAATATGTCATTTAAAGAATTCTAACACTCTGAACGTTCCCTCCCGCACAACCTCTTCGCTGTTCACTCAAACGCCTTGCGAACAAGAAAAAACCTGTTCAGGGAAAAGTGCTACAAACACTGAGGCTTTGACTTTATTTAGAATTGGTCTCTTTTTCCAGGCCAATCAGACGGTGGCGTCAGTTCGCCTCGGTCTGCATGTGTGTGTGTGACTGAGTGTGTGTGTGTTATTTTAGCTTCACTCCTGCTAACAGCTACTGTTGAAGGTTTGTCGGTTTGTTCAAGCTCCCGGGAGAGAAAGTGCTGGAATAATACCGGCTTCATTCCGCCTCGCTGCTGGATAAACACGGAGCGCCGCTGAATTACACAGTGTTTGTTGGTGAAAGCACAAGCGACGACTCATAACCAGCAGGAAAATAAGGAAAATCAGAGCTGTGTGTTTAGGAAAACCCAAGCAACCGGTCCGACATAGTGAATAAACGCACGCACGGCAAATATGACATTGCGCCTTTTATTGGTCTGATTATTAAGATCGATCCAAGTTTTAAAATCAATAACCTGGTGTTATAAGCTAGGTTATTGATTTAAAAACCTCTATATCCAGATCTGAGCTTGAATGAATCGCATCAGCCGACACCAGTGTTAATTAAGATCAGACAGGTGACCTCACTTCAGATAACAGATTTATTTCATATTTAATTCAGTCCCATTTGTTAGGGTCACGGGAAATCACATGATTAATAATTTATCAGATTAACTCGTGTGTGAAGTTGAAGTTTCTTTGGGGCAAATCATATTTAACACTTTTTGTTTTAGTAACATTTAATCGGCTAATTGCGCTTCTGGATTTGCTCTCACATTTCCGAACAACGCGCACATAGAAACTTTCTGTTTATTAATGTTAACCACTCTTAACTCTTTACCGCAGCTCATGTTTTGCATAACTTTTATTTGTTCAAATGTGATTGAGTTCATCTTTGGCTGGAGTAGGGCGGATCATAACGCCTGGTTTGGCAATAATTTGCCCCTAATTCACTCATGCCAAAACATTTCCCAAATGCCACAATTAAACAAATGTGCTTAGATTTGACAAATATTAGATTCGACCTTCAATTGATTCGAAATTCTATTGATTTGATGTGTTTACTGAATAGTTTGGGCGATAAAGCGTATAAGTTTTCTTCACAATATTGGAAAGCGACAATTATTGCTGAAAGAAATTTGTACTTTATAATTAAGCAGGTTACACGAGTATTTGACCAGATATAGCTATGATTGCTCACAAATATACAGGTAAAACAGAACATTACAGGGTACATTTAGCCTAAAAGAAGATTATAACACAGATTTATCAAATAATTGCAAATACGTAAAATGCTAGACCAATGCACTCGTATCAAATCAGAGTATTCAAATTGTACTAAAATATCGAAGTGTAGGCTATTATATCTGGAGTAGTTTGAATAGATTAAGCCGTTTTTCCCAAGTTAAGACAGATTAACTCAACACGTCTCGCATTTACTCAATCACGCAATTCTCAAAAATGTAGGCTACACCTCGTGACACCAACTTTCTTAAATAATCGCATGTAGCCTATTTTAATCCATTTCGATGAGAAACTTTGTTATCCCTCAAACTTCAGCAGACATAAACCGAACAGAAAACCAATTCAAAGGAGTAGCCTGTGCAGCGAATAAATTCAACGCGAATCATATTTATTGATAATAATCATAATAATAAAAGCGTAATTTCTCCGTTTAGACATTGCATTGGCGTATATCCCCATGCACAGAGAGAGTCAGTGAGAGAGAGAGAGAGAGGTCTTACTGCACTGGTCGCAGGTCGCCCGCCCAGCGCGAGATCGGTCCGTGGTTCAGCCCCCTCGCTCGCGCTCTGAATGCCTGCTCTGTGTCGCGCGCCGGGGCTTAAAGAGCCTCGTTGTGTGAAGAGCGAGAAAAAAATCAATTCATGGAAAAAAATCTCTTAAAGGAGCAGCAGAGCCTCATCTAGTCCTCCTCTGATTGGCTGCTGGAGTTCGCCCTGGAGTTTCTTCTCTCAGCGGAGGGCGGTGATTTCTGCTGTCATTTTCAGCCGATCAGATTCTGATCGCACTTTATTTGTGAAATTCAACTTTTTATACATTCATTTGGAAGTTCATATTCTTGATATAGTTCTCAGTTAGGTCAATATATTTGTCTTTGTCATAATAAAACAATTTCTATTTGGAATCTGTCACTTTAAAACACGAATCTTCACATGATTCTTATTCCTTTTTATAATAATAATAATGGTTAAGGTGTAATTGTATATTTTTAAGTACTGAGTAATATTAATTATGTACTTAATATGGTTAGGGTTTGAGTGTAGGTTTGCATGTAAGTACGTATAAATTACTGTTATTAATAAGTTAAGAACATGTATGGACACTTGACACTGTAAAAAAATGTTACCATAATAATAATAATAATTTGTTGAAGCCTATTTCATAATATAAGGGTTAGAGTTGTTGAAAAGCTAATTAAATCAAAGTTAAAGTAAAATAAATAGGCCAACCTAATTAGAACCTAATATATATAGGCTATATATATGTATATATATCAAAATACAATTTTATTATATTTGTTGAACTATTTGTTTAAATTCGAGAAACCCGCGTGAACGTGATCATTAACTGAAAATGTCAAGGAGACGTCCAAAATACTTTAGCTCAAAGTTGTTTGGGAAGCACTGCAATATAATAAGTTATCAAATTTGTAATTTTACAATGCCGCCGCGCGCTATATTTGGGTTTTATCATGCCTTGCCGTTCACAGGTGGTCGTTCATTAGTGTCGGCGTGTCCCGCGGGTGCTGGGGTTTCTCTTTATTAAGCTCTGCCCGATCACACTGGCCTGTTGTTGGCCCGGGTGTGCCTCAGGGTGAAGCAGAGGTCCTCCACGGCCCCGTCACAGCTCGCGCGCCCCCGGCTCGACGGGACTCTGCGCACCTGCTGTGCGCAATAACTGTGCGCGTGGAGCAACAGCACAACTGCAGGATTTCTGCTCGTAAACCTCTGGATGTGCATCAGGACAGCCCTTCAGAATGTTATGATGCATCGGGCCGACATTAGATTAATTGGGACACTTTTCCCCAGTGATCTCAATGGCGAAGAATGTCTCAATTAACCTGAATTCCCTAGAAATAACGCTTCCAAAATTGGGTCAATTTTGCTTCCCGAAAGAACATTTCTTAAATTAGCTTTTTTTTTTTTTTTTCTTGGTGTGAAGAACATTTAAAAAATCGAAATAACTTTTGATTCTCCTCTATAAAAATAAAGGTTCTTTATTGGCATCGATGGTTCCATTTAGAACATTTAAAGGAACTACAAAAGGTTATTTTGACTATTAAAATGTTCTTCAATTATAAAAAAAAAATGTTCTTTAAAGAACTGCTGACTGAATGGTTCTTTAGAGAACCAATAATGTTTTGTTTTCTTCTGTGGCATCACTTAGAAACCCCCTTTATTTTTTTTAGGATGCTAAAAGTTGCTCACAAATGCTAATAAATATAGGCTAACCTTTATTTTTAGGGGTATATATGGCTTGTACATTTTTAAAAAAATATCTCCTAAATAAGTTGGAAACTGAAATTGTTCTGTGTGAGCTATTTTTATCCACCATTACGCCTTATTTTTTATTTAATTTTTTGTAGAATAGTCAAACATGCAGTTGATGGTGCGCGCGCAGGCCTGTGACCCTCGCGCGCGCGCGCAGCGCTGGAACGAGCTCCTGCCGCGTCGTGTAGTGCTATGCGTTAGTTTTATAATCGCATCACATAAACACACAGAGAGAGCATTTAACACGTTTAAACAGAAAATATAGCAAGACGAGAAGCGAGGCGAACGACGGGCCAAACGCACACAAACACGCGCGCTGTTCTGGCCAACAATAACCTCTTGTATTTGCAGCTCGCGACGCCCCCCCACCCAAGCCAAAAAATCATTGCCTTTTTCATTATCCATGAATGTTGACTCTGATAAGGGGATCCTGACCATGAGAGCATCTCTCTGTCTCGGTTTCTCCTTTCTTTGCGTCCTTTGTTTTATCTCAGGTGAATTGTAATCATGTGATCAAACGAACACCCCCCTTCCATTACCCTCTTAAATGAAAAAATGAGGAACAAAAAGCAGTTCTGTGTATATAAAAAAAGAAAAGAAAAGAGAAAAGACGTGTGTCTCCCTTTAGAGCGTCTTTTTCTCCGTGTCCTTCAAACGTACACATATAGAGGGAATGAGCGCGTCGCGCGCCGCGTGGACGGAGCGGACCGAGGCCTGCGCGAGCGAGCGAGCTTTGATGTGAGTTTCTGCCTGTTGATCTCAGGGAAAAGTTTGGGAAGCAGGGAAGCGAGGAGACACTTCGAAGTAGCGCAGTCTCCATGCGTTATAAACACGCAGAGCTGGAGATGTGTTTATCCTCAAGGAGCATTTCACGGGGAAATCGGGGGGTTTTGAATTGAATTGAATTGAATTGTAGCTGTTAAACTCATTGCTTTTTTATTTGTCTTGATGTGTTATTTTTGATGGTCGTGATTGAGAACTGAAGGTTTTATTGTATTGCATCTTGTTCTGCGTTTCCGTATCACGTCAGATCTCGTTTTTCTCCACGGATCTTCTGTAAATTAATTTGGCGCTAATGTCAATTGTTTTGTTTCACGTTAATTATTTGACATGATCACAAATGATCAGTTTACTGTTATTCGTTCTCTGCAAGGGCTTCTGTTTAATTACTATATAGTACATCAGAGACATAATAATAATTAATCATTAATAAGTTGCCTATTTGTCGTATAGTTCAGCAATTGAATTTATTATTTTAAATTATTATATTATTATTTATTCAAATCGAAATAAGCTAAGGTGCGCGAGATGCTCGTCATCACCTGGACTAATTAATAATAATTAACGCGCGCTTTGTTTTTCCTGCATCGGAATCCTTGGAAATTACAGCTAAAATACTTGTCAAAATTATTATTATCGAATAGCCTAATATGTATAATATTAGAATTATCCTGTTTGCATTTCCATTGCTAATTCTTTCAAAAAAAAATCAAATAGACAATTGACAAAAAAATATTATTGTTGTTATTATTATTTTTTCGTAGTTGTTTTGTAAAGAGAAAACAACTTTTCACTCTCGACGGCTCATAATTTCTATAAATTCGTTGAACTTGTTTCACTTCATGTTCAGTCGTTTATTATATATAGGCTATATATATATATATTGCATTTTATTGAGAACCAGAAGAGAACCAGAAGAATGTATAATTTTGAAGCGGGATATATGTCGCTGGTTTATTATTAATTAAGCGCTTCTAGTCGTGCGATAATATGGTTCGTTATTTAATCGCGAGATTTATAATAATTCGCGTTACTTCCAGAGTGAATCCCGTTAAAATTGCGAGCGCGCGTGAATGATTTAGGCTGAAAACCCAAACCAAACCATGCAAATGTGAGAGCGTTGTGTGTGTGCGGTAATTAATAATCTGTTTTAAAACAGCGCTTTTAAATGAAGTGGATTATTGAACCCGAGAGAATGAACAGATTCAGTTGTAGCAAACTGATGCTCTCAGCAAACTAAAACATTTCATTCTGAGCACAGTTAATTGGTTAAGTGTGTGATTGTGTGTGTCTGTGTGTGAGTGTGTGTGCAGCATGTGACAGTGATGATGCTGATGGTTGCCGTTGGAGATGCTGCCTGGGATGTCAGGAGAAGATGTTTGTGAGTGTGGAGGTCAAAAGGTCAATATGAGGACATGATTGTCTCATGACTGGGTTCCACACACTCACACACAACCACACACACACACACACCTGATGACATTGAGTCTGCATGTGTGTGAGTTTCTGGCACAACAGGAAGTGTAGTGAACAAAAGACATGGAGTCGGAGAGAGAGAGAGAGAGAGAGAGAGAGAGAGAGAATTCCTCCTTTTCCTCTGAGAAGGAAAGGTTTGGCCTTTTGTCCGTTGTGGTGGTGATGATGATGATGTGAAGATTCCCAGGGGAATTCCTGCATGTGGATGAAGCTAGAGAAAAGGTCAGACTCTGATGGGATGATCTCATGTTGTTTTCCCTCACTGAAGCAGTTCCTGTGGGCGGAGCCTCCGCTTCACCTGTACACACTCACCTGTCTGACTCACACACTCCAATAGGCCTGAGAAACACACTGCAATTTTCAAGTTAGAAGGGATTCAACAATTTTTAGGTCAGTTTATGGATTTTTTTTTTTGAGTTGAAACAACTTAAACAGCAACAGTGGATTTTATTTAAGGAAACAACTCTTTTACAGTGATTGTGACTATATAATTGACTTTTAAATGAATTACTGGTAATTAATGAATCTATTCTGAATATTAATTTATTATTTCTTTTTAAAATTTTGTTTATTTCCTATTATTATTATTAATAATAATAATAAATAATAAAATTAATTTAATTTATTTTATTTAATAAAAAAATGTATTACTTTAAATGTATATTTTTTAATTAATTAATTACTTAATCTTTCAATTAATTCATTATTATTTTTCCATTAGGCCCACTTGTTTTTATTACTATGATGACCATGATAAAAGTAAAATATTACAGTCTTTCTGGCCACATATGAACAGTAAAACGACTAGGAAATTTCAATAAATGAAACGTGAAAAAAAAAACTTATTTTGGCCATCATAAATATAAAATGTTCATTCAATTACAAATAAAGTTCTGGTTCTTGAATCTGATTGGCTGAGAGCCTTTTCCAGACCGCGATATTCCACATATCACGAGCAACATCATAATTTTACAAATATTTACTAAAATATAATCATAATCAGTGCCAGTTTAAGTGTGTTTTTGACGCGTTCTGCGACGTGAGCTCCAGGCCGTTAGCGGGCGTCCAGCGCTCGTGTTCCCG